ATGAACTCCCACGAGTTGTCCTCTGACCTCCACACATGTGCTATGGCTTGTAAACCTACCCCACACCCCAACACATAAATAAATAAATAAATAATTTTTTTAGACAGGGTCTCAACTGTGTAGACCTTGCTGTCCTGGAACTCACTAGGTAAAGCAGGCTGGCCTCAAACTCACAGAGATCTGCCTCTGCCCTGCCCCTGTCCCTGCCCCTGCCTCTGCCTCAAACGTTGAGATCAAAGTGTGAGCCACCACACACAGCCTAATAAATGCACCCACGTAAAAAGCCAGGCACGACTGTGTGAACCTCTAATCCCAGCACTGTGGGTGGACAAAGACAGGAGGATGGATGGGGTTTGCTGGTAGTCAGTTTAGCTGACAACGCCAAGCTCCAGGTTCAGTGAGAGACCTTGTCTCAAAGGAATTAATATGAATGATAGAACAGGACTCAGGCAAGCTTTCCTCTGAGCACCACAAGCACTCTGTGGCACAAACACACACACGCACGCACACACACACACACACACACACACACACAAAGTAAACAAACATAAATATATATGCATACAGATTTATATATCCAGGTGTGGTGGCACACACTTTTAAGGCCAGCCTGGTCTGCATAGAGAGACCCTATCTCAAAAAAAAAAAAAAAAAAAAATTAGGGAGCTGGAGAGATGGCTCAGTGGTTAAGAGTCCTGGCTGCTCTTGCAGAGGACACAGTTTCAGTTCCAGGCATCCATATGGTGGCTAACAACCTTCCATAACTCCAGTTCCAGGAAAACCAGCACCCTCTTCCATCCTCTATAGGCACTGCACACATGTGGTATACCTACATACATTCAGGCAAAACACTCACACACATAAAATAAAAAAATAAATAATTTCTAAAAATATTTTATTTATTATTTTTATTTTGTGTATGAGTGTATTGCCTGCATGTATGTGAGTGCACACATGTCGTGCAATGCCACAGAGGTCAAGAAGAGGGCTTCAGTATTCTTAACTACTGAGCCATCTCTCCAGCCCCCAAATAAACAGTTTTTTTAACAATTAGTTTAAAGCTGGAGACATAGCTCTGTGGTAGATCTTCAGCCTCACACGTGAGGCACAGATTCAATCCAGCACCGGAAAATAAAACACAATGAAAATATAATTAGGGTGGGCTGGAGAGATGTCTCAGCAGTTAAGAGCACTGGCTGTTCTTGCAGAAGACCCAGGTTTGAACCTCAGCACCCACATGGCCGCTAACAACCATATGTAACTCCAGTTCCAGGGGATCTGACCCCATCTTCTAACCTCTGGGCACTGTACAACACGGGTGCACTTACATACATGCAGGCAATACACTCATAGACATAAAATTAAAACAATAAATTTTGAAAAAACATAACTAGGGAGCTACTGAGGTGGTTCAGTTGGTAAAGGCACTGGCCACTAAGCCTGATGACTGAGGATCCCCAGCACCCACAGAGAAAAAGGAGAGAACCAACTTCTCCAAGTTGTCCTCTGACTTCCACTCATGAACCATGGCATAAACATACACATACACATTTTACATAAATGTAAAAATAATTTTTTAATTAGTTGAGGGTTGGAGAGATGACTCAGCAGTTAAGAACACATACTGCTCTTGCAGAGGACCGGAGTTCAGTTCCCAGAACATATGTCAGGTGGCTCACAGTTACTTATAACTCTCCAACATCCTCTTCTGGCCTGAAAGAGCACCTGTAGCCACACACACAAACACTTAAAAATAAAATGAATCTTAAAAAAAAAATAGTAACAGCCAGGCGTGGTGGCGCACGCCTGTAGTCCCAGCACTTGGGAGGCAGAGGCAGGCGGATCTCTGTGAGTTCAAGGCCAGCCTGGTCTACATAGTGAATTCCAGGACAGCTGGGGCTACAGGGAGACCCTGCGTCAAAAAGACAAAAAAAAAAAAAAATAGTAACAACCAGGTGTGGTAATCAGGCTGCAATTCCAGCATTTGGGAGACTGAGGCAGAAGTATCACAAGTTTGAAGCTAGCCCAGGCTACACAGTGAGACTTTTTCTTGGTGGAGGGGAGGCAATATGGGGACTGGAGAGATGGGTCAGTGTGTAAAGGCACTTGGCTGCCAAGCTTGATGGCCTGAATTCAATTCCAACATGGTAGAACTCGACAACAGGTACCACCACAGGACATCCTCTGACCTCCACAGGCTACCTGTGGCACTGGTATGCCTCCCCCCAATAAATAAACATAATTTAAAAATTTTAATATAGCAATATAATAATAACAAGGGGGAAGTTTCAGTGGTATAGAAAAGCTTGCCACACTGCACATAGCACATTAGCCGTTACTACAATTACTATGACCACTAGTTTATATGTTTGGTTTTGGTTTAAGACAGGGTCTCATGGTCCAAGCTATGCAAAAACTCTGTAGCTCAGGCTGGCCTGAAACTCCAAATCTGCCCTCCTTGGCCTCCAAATGGCCAGGATGACAGGAACTTTGCAGAAGTGGAGGAAATGGGGTTGCGGACCTGGCTCAGTTCCTAGAGTGGGTGTGGTGACATATGCCTATAATCCCAGCGCTTGGAGGTAGAGGCAGGAAGATCAGTTCAGTGTCATCCATGGCTACATAGTGAGTTTGAGGCCAGATTAGGTTACAATGGGACTCTGTCTCTCAAAAAAATAAAATAAAATAAAACCAGGAGAAATTCAAAGTCAGTATCTTCTGAAGGCTGAAGGCTATGGGTGGCTGGCAGGGCCATTTCTTCTCTGTACCAGCTCCCAGGTTCATCCTGATGACAGCAGAATGCCCAGAAGCAAGCTCCATCCACCCTGTTGGGACTACCTTCTTTATCTGATACTAGGGAAGCCAGCAACCTGCCCAGCAGCCCAGCCCAGTCCAGCCGACACCCAGGAAGCACTGGTTTGTCAGGTTGTTCTGGCCAGGTGCCAGCCCTGAACTTGTTATACAAGGTGTATGGGCTCAGGAGTAGGAAAGCAGGACAGATGCTGGCCAGTGCCAGGAACTGCATACATGGCTTTTCCTGAGTGACAAGTGTTGGCCAGGGCCTGGCACATTAACACCTCAAAGCTGACATATCACCCCACAAACCTGCCTCCCTCTCCCAGCAAATAGTGAAGGCAATCCATCTCTTGAACCAGCCCATGGTACCTTGACTCAACACAAAACAGCTCCCTCACCCCAAGAATTCTCCTCGCAAAGGGCCAGCTGCTGGGTCTGAACCTAAAACAAGTTTTGGGTCTGGTTCTCCCCTGAGGACCCCAAATTTCTGGAATCCTGAGAAAAAGCTTCCACACCAATTATGACTAGTGGGGACAGAATCCAGTTGTCAAATACCAGATGTAGTCACACCTGGACATGAGCCCCAACAGGTATTCATAGAGCTCTCGCTTTTAGCTGTGTCCACACCTCTCTGAGCCTCTGTTGCTTCAAACAGGAACCATTATTTCCACAATTCACAGAGTTGTGATGACATGTAGAATATTTATGGGCTGGAGAGATGGCTCAGTGGGTAAAGGTAATTTCCGCCAAGCCTGGAAACCTGAATTCTATCCCTGGGACTTATATGCTGGAAGGATAGAACTGACTCCTGCAAGTTGTCCTCTGGCTTCTACGTGTAAGCACGGACACAAACAAAAATAGATAAGTAAAATGTAAAAAGATATGTAGACTATATGAATTGCTCTGCTCACTGCCAGGCATACTGTAAGCCCTTGCTCAAAGGAACCTGTCGTTGCTGTGGCTTTGCATTCATTCCTGCTACCCAGATATCTAGGATTTATAGAACACAGCCCAAGGCCTAACAGGGAGGAGAAATGAGCCCTCGTGTTTCCCAGGATATTCAAGCCCCTCTGTGGTTACCAACTCTAGTCACTGCCAAGACACCAGCCCACAGCTAATGTTACAGCTCAGAAACCTAAGCTGGGCTCTACAGAGACGCTGGGGCCATCAGAAAGTAGCCCAGGATTTTGGGGTCAGACAGGGCTTGTGTTTTCCAATCCCAGCTCACCCACTGAGTGTCTGTGGGTGTGTGCTCCCTGTACCTGGCATTCAATGCCCCCAACTGTCAAAACAAAGTGGGGCAGGGATTCAGGGAGTTCTCTCTTCAAGACATTTGATGTTGCAAGCTCTGGCTAGAGTCAGCTCCAAGACACAGAAATTTGGGAGAGAAAGGGGTGCAGAGACAGAGGGCTTCACTAAAGGGGTAAGGGGGAGTACACAATGTGTTTTGAGGGCAGCCAGACCAAGAGAGGGACTCTGAGTTCAGAAGCCCCACCTGCCTACGTAAAGGCCAATTGCAGCCCCTCCTTGTCTCCTTCCCACCTCAAACCTGAGACTCCCCAGGTAATGTGCCCTAGTCACCTTGCAAGACCCAAGCTGAACAATCCCTCAGTGGTCCTAAAAGAGTATAGGCCTGGGTCCGTGAGAGACCAGACAGCACCTATGGAACAAATATCGCCTCTGACTGACTGAAAGACCTCACACAGCCCTTCCAGCCAAAACTGGGGTACTTGGAGATATTGAACCTTCTATGGATTGACAGAACATCCCTGGAGGAAGCTGAACCACAAGCAGAAACTCCGCCAGCAGGATGGGCAGCCTCAAGCATGCTGGGCAAAACTGAACCACTGAGCTACGCTCCCAGCTCTGGCCAATGGTGAAACCCCAGAGACTTCAGGCAGCCTCTAAGGAAGCATCCCAGAGCAGGAATGCCCTGGTCTGAGAAGAACCTCTGTCCACCACTCACTCCAAAAGAAGCGACTCCCAGAGCTATGGGGAACACTCGGAAAATTAAAAAGTGCACAATTCCAGCAGCCGTCAGGGATGCGCCCGCATTCCGTTCCACCGAGCGTTCTACATGCAGCCCCGTCGCAGGTCGCAGGGCCCACACGTTTGGTCCCCTGCGGACCAGAGCCCCGGACCCCTGGTCCCTGTACGCGCGCGCGCGCCTCTGGTCGCAGCGCAGGGCGACGGACCCACGCACTCACCCGGGTCTCAGCCTGCAGGGTTCCCGCGAGTGCCACCTCCGCTTTGACGGCGCTATCTGATGCCCCGGCCCTTTAACCCCTCCCGGCAGAGACCTGAGCCCCGCCCTTGACACGGGTGGACCACGCCCACACCGGCCACGCCCCCGGCCCAGCCGGCCACCAGCCTGGCTCCCAGAGATGGAGATTTCATGCAGGACGTAGAGGTGGGACAGACACAGAACGGGAGAGAGCCACAGAGATGGAGACGTGAAGACTTAGACACCTTCAGGTCCCAAATCTTCAGATTCCTCACTCAGACTCTTCACTACCGTTTGAAACCCCGTTTCTCCTCTGGGCCACCCCTCTTCCCACACCAGCCCTTCAAAGCCCCACCTCAGAGGGCTCCCAAGCTTGCACATGGGTTCCTAAGTCATCACTTGAGACCCCTACCATCACCCAGAAGTGGCCCCTGGGGGCCTCAGAAACTTGGAGAGATGGCTCAACTTAAGAATACATACATACTTCTCTAGCATCAGTAGCTCACACAGGGGATCCCAGGCCTCTGGTCTCTTAGAGCACCCTCACACACATGTGCATACCTACATACAGACACATACATACACATAATCTAAAATAAAAAATAGGTCAGGTATGGTGGCTCAAACCTTCATCCCAGCACTCCAGAGGCAGAGGCAGGGTCAGGCAGAGCTCTCTGAGTTCCAGGCTACCTGGTCTACATATCCAGTTCCAGGCCAGTCAGAGCTCCATGTCCCCCCACCCCCTAAAAAAAGAAAGAAGAAAAGAAAGTTTGAGAGATGGCTCAGTGTTTATAAGCATTGGATGCTCTTGCAGAGGACCCTGATTCAGTTCCCAGCACCCACATGGAACTCCATTCCAAGTAACTCCATTCCAAGAGATCCAATTTCCTTTTCTGGCCCCCAAGGGCCATACAACATGGGTGCATTTACATACATGCAGGAAAAATATCCATACACATAAAAATAAAAATAAATAAATAAAATTTTAAAACAAAGCCAGGCATGGTGGTGCACGCCTTTAATCCCAGAACTTGGGAGGCAGAGGCAGGTGGATCTCTGTGAGTTCAAGGCCAGACTGGTCTACATAGTGAGTTCCAGGCCAGCTGGGGCTACAGGGAGACCCTGTCTCAAAAAGACAAAAAAAATTTTTTAACAAAAATAAATAAATAAAAATATGAAAATAAATCTTAAAAAGAAAAGGCTGGCAAAATGGATCAGCAGATTAAAGATACTTGCTACTAAGCCTGACCACCTGAGTTCAGTTCCCAGGAAGAAGAGAATCAACTCCCACAAGTTGTCTTCTGACCAACCATGGACCTTTCCGACTCCCTACACACACACACACACACACACACACACACACACACACATACACACACACACACACTAGCTAAATAAATAAAGATAGGGTGAGGAGCTCCTGAAGGATTCCATTATTCCACTCCCACCCCATGTCTTCCCACCCACTGATAAATACGTTGACCTTCCACCAAAATGTTTTCCAGACACAGCCCCTGCTCTTGGACCCTGAGACAACACTAGGCTGAGTGGGTGGGTAGGTGGGTGGCTGATTTGGACAAGCAGGCAGATAGAAGAGAGAACAAATAGAAGTCCCGAACACCCCCAATTTGGAAGACTTCTTTCTGTTTCTCTGGATTGGTGCTCTGCCCTGAGAAGGTAGGGGCTGTGAGTGAAAAGGAAGAGATAGAAAGAATTGAAGCTTTGCTGCTTGAAAGCCACAAAATGGAGGCCAGTCCAAGCTATGTGAAACGTGTGACATCTGAGCTAGGGCTGTGGGGAGAGGTTGGATTTCAACATGTTCAGGAGAGGGGGTGAGGCTCAAGCTCAGAGAAACTCGGAGGTGTGACCTGGTAAGTAGATTTTCCTGGCCTGGGGTATGAGAGATGAGAAGGCTGGAAAGGCCCAGAAGTTAACCAAAGGGCTTTGAAGACCAGTGTCAGTAGCTGGGAGTGATCTGGTGGGCAATGGATAGTCATGGATAGTATCTGAGCAAGGGAGGAGCCCCCATGTTGTTTACCTGGTTTTAAAACACATCAGAGCTTATTAATTGTTTAGCTATGTAGATTTAACAAAGAAGAGATTATTGAGCACACTGGAAGATATAGACCTTCCCAAAGGCAAAGCGTGGAAGAAGGATCTTTCGGGTGGCTGAAAGCAGGTAGCTGAGACTTGGGAGGCAAACTGGGGCTACAGCCCAAGACATTAGCTATATCGGTCATAAGTTGGATGTGGGAGACAGAGCAAGAGAGGGCAGCATTTCAGATGAAATGGGTGGTGAGAGCAAACACTGGCTCTTTGAGCTTTGGGGGCTGACTTATGGTAGCTTATCAGTTCTCAGTTAGAGCATACGTGGGTAGGGTCCCCAGATACTTTTGGTCATGCTGTTCAGTGTTCTACCATACACAGCATGTTCCAGTGACAGAAAAGAATAGGCCACAGGTGTCAAAAATGCAAGGGCTTGAACCACTGAATCATTTGCCTTCTGTCCACAAGGACTCTGGGCTATTGGGAGGGGCAGCAGAAGGCCATCAAATACTGAAAAGAAAATAGACACGGACGGAGTGGATGGGGGTCACTGGGGAAGGAAGGCAGAGCAGAGGATGGAGACAAGAAATGTTGGGGACAGTACACTTACAATGAGGACAGGCAGAGGCAGGGACCAGAGGTAGAGATTAAGGAAGGGTGATGACAGCATCCCGTGGACAGTCATAAGGACTCTGGGCCCTCAGAAAGGATATAGTTGTATGGTCAGTAGGTCACAGAAGGCTCCGTGGGCTGAGGTCAGAGCCTCTCACATTCCTCCTTCCCTCTAAAGCCTGCTGTGTATAGCTCCCTATTGGTTGAACTCCAGGGGAAGCCTCAAGTCCTTCCACCCCCCCTGCATTGAGCAGTCCACATTGCTCAGCCTCCTGCTTCACAGAATGGGGGAGAGCAGAGAGCTGGAGGAGGCAGAGGCAGTAGCTAGGATCAGGAGATGGTTCAGTAAAGCTGTGTAGGTGATGGATGTAGGGCACAGCAGGGTCCAGTCGAGAGTATTTCCAACCAGAGTATGGGGAGGAGTGCTGCGAATGCTGTCTTCTGGACATGACAGCACAACTGCACTCATGAACTCACAGTAGCTGTGCTTACCTTCACAAGACCTGCACAAGATGGGGCCCATCCACAGAGTCCAAAATGGATAGGAGAGGTGCCTTCGAGGCCCTGCTCCTCCCTGAGGTGCTATTGACAGCTGATGACTGCTGGGGGAGGGTGACACTTTCTTCAGTGGTGTAGCCACCAGTAACTTGTCCATGTTCCAGTAAATAGCCCACCACCCATACCCATTCAAGCACCCTAACTAAACACAATGGGTTATGAAAAAAAGACTTGAGAGTAAATAGGGGACTTATTGGGAAGAAGGGGGTCAAAAGGATGAATATGCTTAAAATTCATTATGTACAGTATGAAATTCAAATTAATTTTAAAAAATTTTTGAGACAGGGTCTCACTATATAGACCAGGCTAGCTTGGAACTCACAGAGATCTGCCTGTCTCTGCCTCTGGAGTGCTGGAATTAAGGGGGTGCACCACCACACCTGGTTTAATTTTTTTAACTTATTTCTTAAGACTAGAGAAATGGCTCAGGAATTAAGAGTGCTTGCAACTTTTGCAGAGGACCCAAGTTCAGTTCCCAGCACCACGTCAGGCAGCTCACAACTATCTATAAACTCCAGGGGATCTGACACCATCTGCTGGCCTCCACAGGCACCTACATATATGTGTGCATACACGCACAGTACACATAATTAAAAATTATTTTTTTTTAAAAAAAATGAACTTCCTATTTTTCTCCTTTCTGTTTTTGAAGCAGTGTCTCATGTTGACCAGGCTGGTCTGGAACTCGCTGTGTTGCTGAGGCTATTCTTGAATTTCTCATTCTCCTGCTTCCTCTTCTAAGTACTGGGATTACAAGCCTGCACTAGTTTTGTTTTTTATGTTCATTTGTTTGGGAGGGGAATACATGCATACCATGGAGTGAGTGTGGAAGTAGAAAACAACCCTTGGGAGTCAATTTGCTCCCTTCAGTAGGTGAGTCCTGGAGATCGAGATCAGATCTTCAGGCCTAGTGGCAAGCACCTTTACCTGTTGAGCCATCTTGCTGGTCCCCTCCTTGTTGTGTGAGATAGCATCTCACTATGTAGCTCATGCTGGCCCTGAACTCATATGCTTCCTGCCTCCTCCTCCTGAGATCAGGGATAACATGTGTGCAACGCTATGCCCAGCTCAACTTATTTTTCAAAAACATTCTAAGTTATAGGTATGGCTTTCTGGTAGATCACTTCCCTAGCACATATTAGGCCCTGGGTTCTCTCCCCAGGACTGAAAGAAGCCAACAGATTTAGATGGAACACACACGGAGTAAAGATGATTCAACAGAGATACCCTAGAGGCAGCTAAGAGTCATTACTAACCCTAGAACCTGGGTCAAGGAAGGGCCTTGAGCAGTTACTGAAAGCTGAACCAGGCAGGCTTGGCCAGAGCTGCCCACTTTCCATCCAGAGACACAGCCTATCTGCACTCACCACATGGGGAAGGAGAGGAGCTGTATGCTCACCAGCTTGCTGTAGCTCCCTATGGGTTGAATCCACTGGGAAGTCACAAGACAAAGGAGCCCACTGAGTGGTCCATGTCCTAGGAAGGAAAACCCAACAAAATGAGATGGAGGAGGCCTCTCTGAGGAGGTCATTTTAAGGGTCTTCAAGAGAAGGAGAGGGACTGAAAAGATATCTCAGTGGTGAAAAGCACTGGCTGCTCTTGTAGAGGACCCAGGTTGGTTCCCAGCACCCACATGGCAGTTCACAACAGTCCATTGACTCCAGTTCCAGGAAATCTGATGCTCTCTTCTGGCCCCTGTTGGCATTGCACAACATAGGTACACTTACATACATGCAGGCAAAACACTCATACACTTAAAGTAAAATAAATAAGTACATAAATATTTTTAGATTTTATTTATTTTTATGTGTATGAGTGTTAAGTTTGCATGTGTGTA